GATTACGCTGAGGAACGCTTCGGACACCATAAGCTGTATTGAGACTGGAAAATTCGAGGATTAAAGTCCATCCCTTAAGGCATTTTCCTACTTGTTTCTGGTCCTTGCTTTTGTAAAATTACACCGTAATAATCGGACATGGTAATGTATTTCTGTCAGGGCAGGTGCACGCCATCTGATAGTCTCCCATTTAGTACGTGATGAGTATGATGCAACCCATTCATGTTTTTAGGCTGGTGTTTGGGGGATTTTGAATAATGTTTTGGGGCATCAAATTTTCTACCACAATCACGACTAATGAATGTGATAATTGTCTAAAAACGTGCCATATATATTTCGGCTTCCCAACTCCTCTGTTCGGCACTTTGTGGTGGACAGAGATGAATTGTTCTAATAAATATTAACAATAATTACTGATTGATTTTGTCGACGTTGCTACGTGTGCGATCCTACAATTTCGAGAATGAACAGTACGTTTGGATGTTGATATGCAAGGTAATTTTTTTTTATTTACAGAGATCTCAGGCATTCATGATTTATCACAGGATGTGTTTTAAGTCTTGATAGGGGTGGTAGATTCTAGAAGAGCAGGATCCATGTTACTTCGCTCCGCCGTCAGAGACTTCACTTCTGAGTTTTATGCACTGCGGCTGACCTCTTATATGAGTATGATACATTTTATTTGGGTCTTCCCTGAGTAGCGAACAGTTTTGCGCACTTCAATAAATACTGGGGTAACACAGGTCCTTGATGAGTGATTGAAAAACGCACATTGCTACAGTGAGGTTTAGTTCGAAGTTGTCAATATTTAGGTTGTATGTCTCTGACAATAGATGGACTTTAAGATCGAGTTGCCCCATCCTAACTCGATTAATCTGATTACGAGAGAGAAAATTAAATGTTACTTGCAGCTGTAGACTTCAAAAAACTGTTTAGTTCTTGAATCTTTCATATCCTGATTAGTATACTCCTGTATATACCTTGATGATCGATACATTGCTAATACGTGTTTTCAGCACTGAAAACATGGCGGAGGAAATCTCATAAGATTGTAATTGTAGTTCTGCTCATGATTAGCATATGAATATTTCGACTAGTTAAAAATAAACAGGAAAAGTATAGCGGCCTGTTTGCCAACTGGTTGTCATTTACCAAAGGTCGACGTAAAACCAATGCGTGTAACTATTGTGACTCTTCCAAGGTCAGATCAGCAAAATAATCTGGCATTTAAAGATATTTATCGTCTGCCTAAATAAGATCAACTTGTAACTATCATGTGATTTGCGTTACTTTGTTGTGTCCAACAGTATTAGTTCTTCAGTTGCACTACCCACCTCAATACCAGTAACGCTGATGGATACTTTACCAAACAATCATAAGAATATCGAGAATTACACCATTTTCTAGAAATATTGCAATTTTTTATGTATAGTTTACTCTCCACGGTTTTACTACGTATTGACTATAGTCATGGATGCGCAACATCAGCTCAGTGCTAACTAGTCAAACAATAGTTTGCATACGTCCTTCAATTGATAACCAGCCGGTGTGGTGTTACGGCTAATCCTCTGGTCAACATTTTTACGTCACTCGTAGCTATATGACTAGAAAGCCCTGATTAGTGTTTGATAATATGCATAGCGAAGCAAACGAAAAAACGGTTGTTTTTGAGATATCATTACCTGATGACGAGGGCTGCCATGAATGCTCTTATCTCGAGCTGTTTCAACAACACCTGGTACTATCACGTAACATGTTTATTATCAGTTTGTTGTTCTGTTTGACTGTTTCTACTATCTTTATATTTGTCGATTTTATTTTGCTTCTTGTATTTTCTCGACCAACTAAGATATATGCTGTTATTACGGTGTACTTATTGCCCAGCCTATTCTTATTGGCCAGGGCTCGACCTTGAGCGTGGGCGTCGTACTGTTGTGCTGACGTTAGCTACCGACTCTGTTTTTAGTAAAATAACACGTTTTTATTTTGAATATATCAGGAATCAAATAATAATCAAAAAAATGGGGATAACCCTTTCGCATCCAATGAAGCTGCAGAAGAAAAAAAGCTTTCTGACCTAGCTAAGGCACTCGAGAGGAAATATGTAAGTAACATGTCGTTAGTGTAACTTAATTTCAGGGGACTATGGTTACTATGAAGAATAGTGGAAAGCACAAGCGAGTTCGTATAGATGATTTCTTGGACCCAGGAGATGGATACGATACACAAGATTCATTTATCGATGATTCCGAAGCTGTAGGGTCCCTTCACATTTTCTATTGTAATATGCAGGTTGATGTATTTGTGGCCCCGAATATTTCTACTAAGTTTGGAGGATATTTTGTACATCAAGGAACTGTTGAAGGACTTGAAGATCAGAGTGCGAAAATCGAGGCCCCTTGGAGTGCAAGGATATTGGTTTGTGTAAATGAAACTGATTCCATTATCCGATAGACAAATACTAATTCATCTCAAAACGTTATGAGGAAAAAAAATAAATCCAAGTCAGTGCCATAAATTTCATAACATTTTCTTAGAGAGCTTCTGGATAAAGCCGTCAAACGCTTGTCAACTCCTAATGCTTTTAAGCCTAAGTTGTTTCTATCGGAACCCCGAACCCAAATGCGCAATTTAGACTCCCTATTTGATGAAGTTTTGTACACATCGACAGCATCTGAACAAGATAGTAACGCAAAAGGCATTGAGAGCTGTGAGGACCCAAATGATAGAAATGACTCTTCTGTCGTCACTGCAAAGTCGTCATGTGACATGGGAAAACCAAAAGTTCTTCCTGAGAATTTACCACCAGACATAGTAGCATGCCTTAACAACTTAACAGAGGTAAGTTAATTATTCATTTGCGTTACTTGGAACGTAGATTTATAAAAACTATTTGAAGATAGAATGTTAGTGCAAGCCATTTGAGTAAAGGAGATAAGAAGCATTCATTAAGTAAAGCATACCTCTTAAGGAATGAGTGGTATCACTCGTAAGGTTTTTTGACTTTCGAGTATTTTAATCACTATGGGATCAGCATAGATAATGATTTTAAACAATTGAATTAGATTTTCAACGAATATTTTCTTTCCAAAGTATCAGTCAGCAATTAGTTTATTGGTCGCGTTAAAATGTCCAACAAAAAACGAGTAAAACCAAGTGAATGAAAGTAAAACAGCATAGTTGGGAAAGCAATACAGTCAGGAAAAACACAATCAGAAAAGATTCAGCTAAAAAAGTTCCTCTCACTTATATGAATTTGCAGCAAGGCCGCAACTGGCTCCTATCGTAAGCCATGTTAGATAGTGTCTCGAATCAGTGTTGTACTATCTTTCGAACTCCAACCAGAGGGTCTTCAAGGACCAATAGATCTCAGTCCCGCACAGCTTGCATATCATACACTGACCATCTCTGCTCTTTCTAACCAGTCGATCGGGAAGTAATGTATGATGTGGAATTCGCTGTATTGCATGCTAGAAAACAGTCGGTTCTGTTAGAATTTATTATTATTTATTTTATGGCCCCCAAATGCCCTGGTACAGCCGAGAGTGGGGACGTATTCGTGCGAGACTTTGTTGATTATGGTCGACTGAGGGTTATGAATCAGGACCTACAAAAGTGGATGACATATATGGTCTACGAACATTTGTTCAAACTACTGCTTGTACGCGGTAGACTACCAGGTGAGTAATGCATAGGTTGAACTTAGAGCACTAGGTATATATGGCAAATTGGTTAATGAGTTGACTGAGATGTCTAGAACATGTATTTCATACACCCAGCCACTCCCTATCACAAACTACAATATTGACTTTAGTAGGAATAAATTAGAAGAAAGCTAGGGATGAGAAAACCAAGACGTGAGATCAGTACACAAAGTTATTGACTGCTGTTCTGGACCCTTTTAGTAGATCTGAACTACCTAGCTGAGGTCAGTTCAATTATCGTAATTACTAGTTAAAGATCTTGGTTGACGTGACTTAGAATTGTCCTCACTAACGCAGGTACATTCACTCTTTGTCTTTTCTCAAAATTGGTCATAGCGCAATTAAATTCATTCTCGTTGACTACCACTAGTAATGTTACTACTTTTACTCTGGAATCTGCCTTGATTTTTTCATTTAGCTATCCTGATGGAGTATGGCAACTTGAACCGATACACACATGTGCTTAGTTCTACGTTGCATATGACTGACTGACTGATTAGATCGTCATTTTACTGTTTCATCCATGTATCGTAATAGGTTTCTCATTTAACTGCACTTTAGTTCCTCTTTGTTGCTGCTAATCTTGTTGATTTTCTTCTACGTTGTTAATATGCAGTGTGATGCACACTCGTATCGGGTCCTACACTGATAACAACTGGTTGTAAAGTTTGGGTTACTGTTGGTTGTAGACTGGGAATGTACGAATGAGGGTTTTGTGACAGATTTATGATTTGTAAAATTTTGTTTGTTTGAAAGTTTTGTTTACTAAAATTCCCCCGAATAGTCGTACCAAGAGAATAGTCAGGTCATATGCATGCTTACTGAGTGCCTTGTTGATGTGGTTGATATTTTTCATTAAGAGTTTACACATTTTAGTTGATAACTCATGTGTTTGAATCAATTGCCTTTTTTGACATTTGCTGTTTCTTATTCAATTTATGAGTAACTTAATTCCAGCTCAATAAACATGGAACAAATCAACGTCGTACACTAGGAAAACCATTTGACACAGAACTACTAAAGTAAGTTTTTTGATTGTAATAGTTAGTCTTAACGTTAGTTAGTTGACTTATTGTTATAATCCTCTCTTTTTTCTTACGGTTAATGACCCAGCTATTCCTATTGCTTAGTATTCTCGGACACCGATTCACTCGACAAGTCCCCAAATCAGAACACGGTTGAACAGGAAAGAGATTATATTCCAAATAACAAGTCAGAAGCCAGTAGGAAGCACAATAGGGGAAAACGTCGGTATATTTATAGTTTTTACATAAGAAGATTCCAGAATATTCTCCGACTATCGACTAGTGCTGATTGGATAAGAACCAGCCAATCAGCGTGCACCAAAGCAATCATGCCTTGAGCATGCTTTAATCTAGTCTATGTCCCGCTAACACCTCCCCTCTGAGCAGATTCGTAGGATCTGGTGCTAGGGTCCAACTGCAACTGAGTGACTGGCTTGTGCTCTAGATTAGTCCATCGTCTAAGCAATAAAGAATTATCACTTTTTTCTTGCACAGAGACTGATGTGTCTGTTCCCGGCGTTTCGATTTTTTTTAAAAAAAAAGTATGCATAACTTTTAATTCTCCAACATTCTCCTCCTCCGCGAAACAATGTCGGATCCTTATATCTCCAAGTTACAAATAATAGGACTTTATTTAAACGACGTTTCTCGCGTTGAATGTTGGATCCACTAGAAACGACTAGATGATAATGAACGACCTTTGATTTGAGGTCAAAGTTTAATTCTTCTGAAGCATTACTTTCAAATCCATTAGGAATTTCATCAGTGGATAATGGATCATTACGGAAATCATCATCTAACAAAATTAAATTAGACTTTTGACCATAATTTGACTCAGCTGATATATTTTCCTGATTTTTATGAGAAATTTCATCGAAATAACATGCATTGTTCTGAGAACCCATGTCTGATACATTGTCATTAGAAATCGGATAAGCTGATTCAATATAAGTTTCTGTCTCACAATGATTTTGAGTAACATTCGGTATAATTGGGTTCGTTGTGTCACTGCAGTTATTTTCTGAATACGAGTCCCCATAGCTTTCTTGGCTAATATCACGTGGACCATAAATTTGTTCTAGCTGAAAGTTATTTTCAGAGCTAGACAGAACCAGTAGTGCTTCATTCAATTCTGGACTCCGGGCTTCATCTGCAGGGTCTGGCTCTTGATAATCTCGTATTGCCACAACTTTATGAGCATTCAACACAGGATTTCCTTGCTGTGAGCCGGAAACGTTACAAATATTACGTTCTGATTCAGGTATAAAGGGATTTGAACCCTCCACTAGATATGCTTCTGAAATGTCTGTTACTGCATCATAAACAGATTTCTTATTTTCTGGTCGAGTGAAAAGTGTGCTCAATAGTTGTTGTTGCAAGGCTAACAACTTCTGCTGGTGCTGTAATATTAACCGCAACTGTTCTAAAGAAATCGCCATTTTTCTTTAGTTTTTCCCCGTCGCCACTGTTATAGCTCTGTTTTCTTACAGGTTAATGACCCAGCTATTCCTGTTGCTTAGTATTCTCGGACACCGATTCACTCGACAAGTCCCCAAATCAAAACACGGTTGAACAGGAAGAGATTATACTCCAAATAACAAGTCAGAAGCCAGTAGGAAGCACAATAGGGGAAAACGTCGGTATATTTATAGTTTTTACATAAGAAGATTCCAGAATATTCTCCGACTATCGACTAGTGCTGATTGGATAAGAATCAGCCAATCAGCGTGCACCAAAGCAATCATGCCTTGAGCATGCTTTAATCTAGTCTATGTCCCGCTAACACTTATCATTATCTGTTTTGGTAGGAAAGTGAACACTGTGGTAAACTCTGGATTCTGTTTCCCCATTATTTATTTGTAGCGTGGTTCGGTCAGATAAGTTGTGTGAATAAACAAGTAAATTGTACTCCAGTTTGTATGATTTAATCGTTAAACAATTATTTCAGACAAAGTAGTTTTCACCGGCTGTTAGTTTGTGTTGTCGTTATACAAAATTACAGTCCCTATTGATATTATGTAGAGATGCTTAAAAATATGTTATACAGCTAATTCACTCATTTTCTAGGCTATTCAGTTATTTTTAAACTTCATAGCATTACCACAAACTTCATTTGTTTTTAAGAGCTTTAACCTAGTAGTGAATTTACTCAGGTTCCAACTAGTAGACTATATTTCTGAGTTTTTCTTTACCCACTTCTATTTTGGCTTCCGGATAGTATCACTATCCTTAACAGTGCAACTTGAAGCATAGTATGTAGTCATGTATTTGGTGAACTAGCTTCATAATCAACTCAAATAAGTTTGATGGTTATTTTCTCGGGATATAACATCAATACGCTGGAAAATATTATTTCTTCATGATTTCCGACTACTCGTTCTGTCCTGTAAAATAAAAGCCTCAGTAATGTGACAGTGGATAGAAACAAGATCTGGATAGCCATTTCTTATTGTGAAGTTCCAACTAGGTTTTGTATTTGTTCAACTAATATGAAACAACCTGGACGAGAGCATCTATACTTTTAAAAAATCTTGTTTAACTCAGTAACCAGGGGCAAGTTTGTGTACCCAGTTCTGAGCCACACACTTTGTATGAGTACTAGTAATATCACCTAGGTGCTCAAACCGAAGTAATTAAAGTGGGTTTCTATGACCTTCAACCTAACGCCTGACACGAATGCTTCAACCAGTAAGCCTCCTTATTATACATGATATTGAAACTATTTCTCTCAATTCACGGAGCTCCAAACTTATCATAAAAGGAAACGAAACGATTTCAATTTAATGCGCACATTATTTTTGATTGTTATGAACCGGAACTAGTTTTCACGCTTATAACTATAACTCAAATCAGTTATTATTTATACTTCTAAACAAATAAATTGTAATAGTAACTATACTCGACTATTCATGTTAGCGAGAAATGTCTCAGGAGTTTTGTACACAAGTATGTTATTTGTAACGTTAATGAGTTTTCACACCAAATCTTTCAAAAGTACTTTAATTTGTAAAAGAATTCTCGTAATCCAGCGCTTTGCTTATTTAAACATAAAAATTAGTATGAGAAGGCACCGAATACACATGTGTTACATAAATCATCCGGTTTATGTGAGGGCTGGGATATTACCCGGGCGCTCAGACCGAAGCAGGTGGTTTTCTTAGGAGGTCACTCCCTGAGCCTTCGACCTAAGGGTCTAATCCACAAGGCGGTGGAACAACATTAGGAGATACAGTCCCATGGTGGCTGTTGACCAACAATGGGTTTATACACCATTTGTTCCCTCAGGATTCTGGAGCCCATATGCACCACTGGTTTGTAATCAGAGTCTTCCAAGTCCCCTAGGTGGGTCCTCTATATCTACCAACCCGAATATTCGCTTTTCGTCATGTCACGAACAACACATTCCATCATAGTTTTGGTCACAATCTTCATAAGTGTCAATGAATTATATTAAAAATTTGCTATCTTCTTGGAACATGTTTTCAATGAGTAACTCAGTTTACAGATCTATTTCAATAAATAAATGTTCATATTGATGGATTGTTTACTTTCGACTGATTGGTTTGTTGTTTCGACTAATTATTTCTAAAACTATTTTGTTCATGATATTTAGATTGGATATAAAGTTGAAAGAATTGATGATAAATCAGTCTGTGAGGTCAGATGTATTCAGCTACTTAGAAAGTCACTTACAATTGAAACACAAAGCTGTAATGCGTAGACTTAAAAGATTGAAAGAAGATAAACAAGAACAGAGAATGAACCCGCTATTGGATGCTCTTGGTGAAGGTATGTGATCATTGTTACTAGGTAGCTAAGCGTACTGAAAAGTTTACTGTAAATGAAATGACAGATCTGTTGTACCTTTTATTTCAAACCTTACTTTATCCACCTTGCAATGAATTTTTAGAAAAAAATCATATAACGGGTTAAAACACACATCATGTTGGTACTCAAAATCTGGGTTCTTTGAATACACCTTCACTAACAAAAGTTACTAGTTGTGTTCGGTAGGCAGTGCAACTGAAGACTGATCTCATTGTAGGGCAGAGTTATGTTCAATCTTTTATAACTTACGGATATTACTATTTAATTTTCACCCAACCTTCACTATCTGTTTTTCCCCACCTTGCTATAAGAAGCCGTGTTACCACTTTGCTAGTTCAGTATTGTCACTTCATGCGTATCTAGTCAACCTTGTACATACGTTCTCAGTGTAAATATAAGTTTTATATGTGGGGTCTATGAAATAACTAAATCCTTTAGCTAGTCTTCAAAAGGACTTATTTTCTGGTTTTGTTCTTATTTCCTGACTTAAGCTATTTCATCGTCTATGCCTCCAATTATTGAAAGTTATACAAGAGATAAAGAGGTTCACTTGGAACGTATCAAAGCTTGGCAAACGGAGTAAGTTAATCAATAAGTTGTAATATTTTTCAACTGAACTGTTGTTCTAAACACTTCAATTTTAACTGCATGGTGGGTTTTTGCGTCTTATAAGTTTTGGTTCGGACATCCTGGTATTACTTTTTAATCCTCACCAATAGTACTATTCAAAGGTTGGCACATAAATATTTACTAACTGGTTTTCAGTTTATAGGTATTAAATAGCTACCGCAATTAGAATTATTGAATAATTGAAGGTAATAATTACGCATTTTAAGATTCGGTTATATTTTGACATTCAGTTATTAACCATTTCAGTTTGTTATTCTGCTGTATTCTGGTAACCATTTGCTCGGTATTGGTATTTGTTTAGTGTAAAATTCATCTTAAGTTATAATTATTCAAATGTAATTATAAATTACTAAGAAAGGGGATCTGTACATAGGGTATGCTATTTTTCTTTTAAATTCTTTGCAGCCATGGACTAGGCTTGTAGTGAACAGAACACGGGTGGGGACAATCGAATGTATTTGACACAAAATTACAGAGCATCTCAATAAAATCTGAGAACTATATATTAAATCGTTAATTTGCAAAATGTTCACCAATTGTCTCAAAATGCCTCAGACTTCATTGTTCTTACATTTTCATACAAATAACATTCTATTCCCACTCTTGCTTTTTTCATCTTCCCACATCTTCCGCTGCCAGACATTACATTCCTGACTCGCGTCATATACTACTTATATCAATATAAGTAGCACGCACTACAGGCTTTTTCCACTTAATTGTTGGGAGTCTAGGTTAAGAGTTTACTATTGCTTTGATATTTTCGAGATGCTTGTGAAAGAGCCGGTTATAACCCAGTTGAAAAACGATGTAATATTGTCAAAAATTTCTGACACTGGATTCACATGGCTTATACTGCAGGATTTAGTTTTACAATCTATGTATGTAGTAGGTTTGAGGTTTAATAGTAGTTTTTCTAAATTCGCGGTTATTGAATCAAGAGCCAAGTTATACTGAATAGCTGTTTAGGTTCTTTGTAGCTATCCGGTTGGGATGTTAACGTTGCACAGTTGTGATTAGGGACTAATTAGCATACAGTAAACGGGTTTTTCTCTATTTGTAATCTATTTGGTTGTTAGCCACGGGTTTTCTTCGATCATTTTTGGTACCCTCTACCAAGTACAAATATCTTCAGCGACAATCCCCTCAATTGTTTTTTTTTCGGTTTCAGAAATTTGCAAAGCGGTCCAGATTTAAACGATAATCAAGGTGTTAATGGCTCAAGCGACGGAAGCTTATCGAAACGCCCTCCAAAACCCGGACCTCCTAAGAAAATCTACCGATGGAATTCTGAATGCAGGTAAATTATTTACCGTCATATCTGTTTCACCAATTTTGAATAATACTTCGCTATTAACGTAAAATTGAGTTATAAAACTTATAATCGACTGATCTCTGTTACCTACATAAAGTTTACAAGTTAGGTAGAGTTCGGGTCTTATGAACACTAACTAGTCTTAATATTGGAGAAAATATCAGGCAGATGGCAATTCGTATGGAACTTTTATGTTTGTTGTGAAGTATTAATTCACCTGAGTCTTCGAAAAATTTTAATGATGCTTGCCGTATAAGTGTTTTCCAATATGATTATGTCATTCTTAAGATTTCGGAACTATTCATGGTGATTAACCCACAGCCATTCTCTGGTTGGTATAACGTTTCCCTTTAATTCCGATTTAAAATGATATCGCTCTTGATTGAGTAAAATATTGTAACGGCGCACTATCTGAAAATTCCAAACCTTAGTTATAAATGAACTAAGGTTGTCTTTCATCAATTTTCTTATAGATGTATTTTTATCTTTTGGTTATATTTGTGTAGTGATTTCATACTTACAGTAATTCGTAGCCAGTGAACGAAGATACTGATATCTAGACTCTTTATTTCCCAGGTATAATAAGAAGGTATCTAATAGTTTTAAACGTGGAACAATCTTTTCCTTTTTTTTAACCATAGGCAACTTTTCGATAAAATCATCCTTTGCCGACTTGAAAGTTATAAATTGTTGAACATCAAAGGTTCTGCTGAAGACTATCTGAGACGCCTTTTTCCAACTTTAATTCAACTTTGGCCTGATGGTTGGATTACTAATGCGTAAGTATCTATCATTTTTAATTATTTTCACGCCACTGAGCTAGT